ACCAGTGTATACTCAATGCTACCACGCATCGGTATTGTTCATCGAAATGAGAACAACAGGCACCAGATTTGGCACGATATTAATGGAAGAAGAATAAATGAGAATCGGATGAACATGAATTTATTCCTGTTTATAGATTACCACTTTTAAATGAGATTGCATTACACAGCGTAGGACCAATGAACGATGGGCGCATTCATTGTGGTACATTGCACAATTTAATTTGGTGAAATTATGGCGCAAGGCACACAACCGAACCTTCACAAAAGTTGGCATTCATTTGAAAAACCCAGTTTTAACCATGGTCAACTTTATGTTGCTTTTAGATAGGTAAAGAGGCCAGATGATCTTAAAATAGTACTAGAACCAAATAAAGACCAAGGAATCGACCAAAATGGATACCATACAACAAGTGTTGTTTCAGAGAGAATTTTGTTATAGAATTAGCATTTTACAATTTGGATGATGACATTATCTCTAAGTGTTTTTCTAAGAGAATTTGTCTATATTTAAAGAAATCTATATTCAAGGTAGGGTAACCCATGAGACTAATAATTTGTACAAAATAATTACTAGAATATAGGGACTATTGCCCCTACAAGCCACTAGTATATATATATACATATATACAAATTTGCAGTGTTGGGAAGTAGCACGCTACAAGTAACGACGCTACAGTAGCGCGCTACTTTTTTTGTAGCGTTAGCTGTAGCTACGCTACTTTTAAGATTTTGTAGCTGTAGCTGTAGCTAGCTACATTTTTAAAGTAGTTGTAGCGGAATTTTAGCTACTTTTCTCGCTACATTATCATTGTTTGAGATAGTGATTTTTATCATAACCTCAACCTTACGTGAAACCTCTTTCAAACTGAGATTTAAAAAAAAATTAGGCCTTACTTTCTTGGCTTCATACAGCTGGTTGCACCCGTTTCATTCCCTATTACAACGTTGTGTGGACATGGAGGCCACTTACTGGATACTGTGTTATCCACATTTTTGGCTCTCATTTCCTTAATTTACTACTCTATGATTACTGTCAGATAAAATAAAATCGCTAGATGCAGACGACGTTTAAACGTTACCGGTGACAAGAGAAGCTATTGAATGCTTGCAAGTGATTGACAGGGAAATTAGTAATCAATTTAGTTTGTTTATTATACCGATAGTGTTTCAACTTAGATTTTAATGGAAACCAACACTAAACCTTAAAATAATGAGAAATCTGGTCTATCAACCTTTGCTTCAGCTGTTGATTGTGGTTCATCATCACAAGCCCTTCCTTGGTTAGATTACGAAGATTTTTCAAAGGTTTACTAAATTAACAAAGAGGAAATTACCTGATGTGATTTAAGATATGTATAGACTAAATGATAATTGTAACAAAAAAATCTCCATATAACATGAAACTTACATTGAAAAAAATAGCATAGTTTGCTCCTAGTAACAGCTCTTGTATAGGACTATTAATTCCTAGGCTATGCTATGGTTTAAGACGAATACCAAGTCCCAAGTTCAATTATTAGGAATATATCTGTTTAGTCCTTGCAAGAACAAGCCTACTATAGCCAACTTGTTACATAGCCAAGTAGGCCTAGGCCTACATGTTATTTTTACTTTACAAATTTCAACATGTTTAAATTAAAAGCCGATTTCAGGATAAGTTACTGGATACTGTTTTCTGTACCAACTAGGTTGAAGCACAATTTGCCCTATGCATAATGACAATAAAGGACGATTTCTTGACATTGAAAAGTGTTATTCATAGTACAAGTAACTTATCACTTAAAAGTTTATAGCAATGTCGTTTTTAACATTTAAAGAAAAGCAATAAACTCCAATTTCAGTAGGCTAGGCTCTGTAACACAAAAAAGTATTTTTAAATAATCGTTTTACAGTTTTATTGGTCTTAATTATTGATATAAGACATCTTTAAATGAATCTTTATTAAAGAAATAAAATGAGCTTTTAAAATATAGTTTGGTTGTATGTCCTTTGAACTTAATGAAATTTACATTTAAGATGCTTAAAAAGGTGTGCGGTTATCCAATAATCGGGTCGGATTCGGTTTGGTTCGGATATCCGTATCCGAACCGAGCATAAGTTTGATATCCGATACTATCCGTTATATATCCGACTTTTTCGGATAGACAACATATTTTGACGTTTTGGACAGAAAACTAAATCTTCATAACCATCATTAGTTTCCCTGGACAAAATTACAGCAATACGTTTCCAACGACGACGACGTAACATCAAAGGACAAAGAAGCCGTATGATGCAATACCGATGTCTAGTTTAGTCGTTATCAGCTGTTTTGCTTTATGATTAGATTCGTCTGGAACGTTATCAGCTGTTTTGCTTTACGATTAGATTCGTCTGGAACAAACATACATAAAGCAGAAAAGAACTTCCATGGTCAACTCGTGCTTGTCTCTTGATACTAGAGGCGCTATGCGTAATAGTTTTTTTTACAGTACTGTTTTAAATCATAAAAATCTAGCCTACTTATGTGCTGTTACGTAAACAATAGATTTAATGTTTCCCGAAAAAAGTCAGAATAGAAACAATAGAAAGGCAACACAATAGAAGGGTGGGAGGGGTTGGGCAATGACCTCGAAAGGAGCCCGGGTAACGGGTAGCAACAGTGAGTCCAGTAGGCCGTGAGGGGGGAAGGGGTGGGTACGACCTTGAAGCTATATATAGACTTGCACTACTTCCCTAAATCTAAAGGACTGGCGAGTGGTATTCCAATCACAGGACAAGATATGTTGTTTTTTGAGTATTCATTGCCCGGTTTGACTTTGGATTGTCTTATTGTGTAGAAACTTTGAATAATCAAAAATAAAATTAGAACTAACCACGATTATTTAGTAGGCCCCTATTGATTGTGTATATTAAATGATTAAATGATAGGGACCAGGGGAAATATACAAACTTTTGTCATGATTTGAATTTCAACATCAAAATACAATATTGCACAATCAAGATATTTTAGGTCATTGACCTTTATTATACATCCGGTATTGCTGTTTCAGGAGAAACACGTTGATAAATTATAAATTGATATTCTCGTGGTTAAAAAGAATTATTTTATAAACCTATAAAACAAAATCATAAAATCTTACATAAAGATAATAACAATAACAGCAATTGTAAAAAGGGTATAAAGATAACAACGTCATTATACTTTCTCTTTGTTCTTCTATTTCTTGGGTTTCCCTTCATCACGCATTCAACAAGTTGCCTAGTTGCCCATGTCGTTATCAGCTTTTGTGACATAGCACAGCAGGGGGTAAAACTTGACGAAAATCGGTTAATTTTTACCTATTATTTAATTACCAATGTACTTGATTGGTAATTTATTAATAAATTGGCCGGTTTTTGTCAAATTTTACACCAAATTTATTGGAATTTCAAGGTGAATATCAATAAAACAATTATTACCAAATATGTTTATTCATTTAAAAGATTGATTTGTGGTATTGGGTTCCCCACTGAGTGCAGCCGAGCGGCACTAATGAGGGTTGAAGTGAACAATAGACGGCTTATCAGACCCGACCCTCCCAAGTGGTCTGGAGAAAGCTTGTAAAAAAACTATTGTTGCACATGCAGTGACTTGTTGACCTTGGGCTGCTTCAACTTTAATTTTTTCAAATGAACTGTGATGTTTCAAAATCAAAAACAATAACTTGGGACCATACTGCATAACAATAATAGACTGCAATAATTTTTGAATTTAAAATCCATTTTTAACAAACTTATAACTTTTTAACTTTTAAAACTTATCTTGGTATTTTACTTGGGGTAATGAAGTTATGTAGGCTAGTGTAATTCTTGGTTCATCAAGGTTCTACTGAATTAAGTTTGGCAGTGAATAAGTGTAGAATGAAATTTATAAATTCAGGGATACACACCTTTTACAGAGTTATAAAGCCTAATTGCTCTAATTAACTTGCCACAACATCAAATCTAGAGCCCAGTTTAGTTTTATTAGTGATGTTTTCTAAACTTGGCAAACCCCAAGAATGCCACTTAAGGCCAATAATCTGTTCCAAAAACGTAAGGAAATACAATGTGAAAATAAAATTGAGATAGAAATCCTTGTCTTGTGAGAACCAGGAAACAACATAAAACATAACCTCAAGTAAACAAACCAAAACGTTTTGACATCAGTCCTGCTGAGCTTAAGTGTTGTGTGAAGATTTCGGCTGCTAGTGTACTTAATTCAAGCAACCAACTTTTGAAAACAGATGTTGTGAATTGTGATTTTCAAGAGAGAAAAACTGTGAACTATCCGAATCCGAAAATATCCGAATCCGAACCTCCCAATATCCGATCCGATCCGAACCGAGCCTCAACTATCCGATCCGAAATGAAATTTCACTCAAAATAATGCAATATTTAAAAATAAGTACTAAATATGATGGGACACCGAACTATTTGGTTCTGTTGTTGTAATGTTAGGTTTATAATGCCAAAAAATTAAATACAATATAGGAATAATTTGTTTTCCAATTAATGTTAGATACAATACTGACATTTTTTTAATGTTTGTTCAGTAAAAATGTAGTTGCAATTAATTTTACATTTACCTAATGTGCGTGGAATAAAAAGTAACGTCTTTGGAAAAGTAGCTAAAATTTTAGCTGTAGCTACATTTCAATGTAGCTGTAGTTGTAGCTAGCTACTTTTGCGGAACTGTAGCTGTAGCTGTAGCTAAGCGACTTTTTTGGAAATGTAGCAGTAGTTGTAGCTAGCTACATTTTAAAAGTAGCTTCCCAACACTGCAAATTTGAACGAATGATGTTTTTGGCCTCTGGGGACATCAAAATGAAAAAGTAAATCGGTCCCGGGCCTAGGTCTTACCATGCCACCTACGGTAATAGCTACTTCCCTATAGGGAAATTCGCTAAAAGTAAGTTAATTTCTTTAAAACTAAAAAAATATTTTTTTAATAACATTTAGTCTTCAGATTGTTTATAAGATAAATGACCAACTTACTTCACAGTTTTCTTTTTCTTCCAATCCAGCTCTTTTCTCTTTCCTTTTTCTCTTCTTTAGTTTCTTGTGTTCTTTTCTTTGTTGCAACAGCTGCTCTTCCTTTGTGATTTCTTCATAGAGTAGTTCTAGTTGGGTCTTGCCTCTCTTGCACTCAACAGCTTTCTATTAAGTCATAAGCTATTTTATTAATTTTTAACATAAGTTGAAACCAACTTACATTTTTTTTTCAGTGTTTGGGTTTCTTTAGGATCCCTTCATGTAATAACAAATAGAGGATGCGGAATACTACCAAACCAAACCCCCCCCCCCCCCCCCCCACCGTGGTGAAACGTGACGTCACAAAATCTGCCAACTATCCCAAAATGGAAGCCGTGTCCGTGACTGGAATACTACCCCCCCCCCTCCTAGCAAAATGTGATGCTATGTATTAAAGTTAATTTCATACATAATAATTATTGTAAATTTTAGTAATTCCGTTTGATAACAGAAAAGGCATATGAGAAATATCAAACAGAATTTTTCAATGTTACAGCAAGTTTGGTTAGTTAGGTTAGGTTAGTTAAGAACATTTTGACAACCAAAAAATCCTGCTTGGGGGTAATTGTCTGGGGGGCAGTCTTCTGGCGATTCAACAAATAAATCAAATACTACCAGCTTGGTATTTTATTAAATACATTTCAAAACCTTTTCTGTAGCTGCAAACCTAAGTACTTGTTTAACCTAATGTTATTCAAAAGGAACTCAAATGTGGAATGTTAAAAGAAACATATTAGTCAAAATCCAATCAGGCAAATGGAAGATCACGTGATCGCTTAGCCTGCTGGATTGTTATGGCTGAGGTAATTAACAATACATTTTTATCTAAGTCAACAGCAATGGTTATACCTGAAAGTTGCGGTTGAGTGCGTCAACAGCGATGGCAGCCAACACCTGACAGGTACACTCCTCCTCCCTCAGTCTCAGCTGTATGCGGTGGAGCCTCTCATACACACAGATACCCAGACAAGTCAACACCTCCTCCTGGGCAATCTCCAAAGTCTTGGCATGTCTCTCCCTGCGACTGTACATAGGATATCACTTAATATATGGTGGAGCCTCTCATACACACAGATACCCAGACAAATCAACACATCCTCCTAGACAATCTCCAATGTCTTGGCATGTCTCTCCCTGCAACTGTCCATAGGATATCACATAATATATGGTGAAGCCTTTCATACACACAGATACCCAGACAAGTCAAAACCTCCTCCTAGGCAATCTCCAATGTCTTGGCATAGGCTGTCTCCCTGCGACTGTACATAGGATATCACATAATATATGGTGGAGCCTGTCATACACAAAGATACCCAGACAAGTCAACACCTCCTCCTGGACAAACTCCAATGTCTTGTCTCTCCCTGTGACTGTACAAATAGTCCAATCATATAAGGAATTTCCCGGGAAAAAATTCCCGAACATTTTTTCTCAGTGGTTTCTTATGTATTTTTTGACGCTGAATCCGATTTTAAACTTTGCCACCTCGCCAGAGGTGAGCTAACTTCAGAAATCGCAAAAAACTAATAAAATACTGTACTTTGTTTTACTTTTTTGCATATAACTCACAAACGGAGTATTTTTTTGCAATAACTGGCATTTACTAAATTAAAGTACACTAAATTCCCTACAATATACGTATAATAACTTTATTTCTACGTTGTTCCAAACTGACGCTAGAGCGCGCTCAAAAATCATCATTTTCTTTTACTATTGGAAAACGTAGAAAACACCATTATAAATCCTTGGATTAGACACCCAACGAACTGATGAATATTGATTATTTTATAATTATATGGTACCATTAGGTCACATTTAGTGGTAAAAAAATGTAAGTGATGTTTATAGTCGGTAACCATAGCAATAAATAAATAACGAAACAAATTTTCAATTTAAACTAGAGGACCCATGCTGCTCCGCAGCGTTAAAATAAATATAATATCCGAGAAATAATCAAATTTATAATTTTTGATCGAACAATACAGTATCTTAATTGCTTAAATAAAAGAAAGTTCTTAGACCAAAATATATACAGTACGATTATATAATTACAACTGGTGAAATACATCTTAAATTGATGTAAGAATTCGAAAATAATCAAATTATGTTTTTAGTGGAGTAAAACAGTAGGTAAATACTATATACCGATGCATGATGTGAAATTTTTGCGTGCATGGCATCAATTTGTGACCTAAATCATTAAAATCAGTCAGGTAGAAGAGCCAAACGAACTCGGAAAAGAGAAACCAAATTTAACTTTTAGAAATACATGGAGAGCAAATTTCTTTTACATATAAGCCGAGTGGGATTATAGATAAATATATGCCGGTGCTTGATGGCTAATCTGTGCTTGCATACCTTCAATTTGAGACCCCAATCATGAAAATCGGTTTGGGCAGTAGAGCCAAACGAACTCGGCAAAGAGAAACCAAATTCATCTCCCATAAGAAATACATGGAGATCAAATTTCGTTTACGTATAACCTGAGGGGGATTGTGGATAAATACATGCCGATGCTTGATGGCAAATCTGTGCGTGCATACCTTCAATTTGAGATCTAAATCATGTTAATCGGTCGGGTAGAAGAGCCAAACGTAGTCGGAAAAGAAAAACCATGTTTTTTTATAACCTTTTATACCACCTTTGCAAATTATTATTATAAATCAATGTGTCAATTATAACTATAGTTTAATATGCTGGGGCTGCAGTATAGATACCATTTTCCCTATATGTGTACATTATATAGATAGTATCTTTATAAAATGTACACACTATATACAGAAAATATACAGAGATGTTGACTGAAATGCTATAGACGAGCTTCTATTTATTAAATTAACATGTACAACTATAACTTTTATTTTCCTATTTTCTCCTCACTTGTCATCTTTATTTTCTTGACTGGCTAGGGGTCCTCGGATGTGGGCTGAGCTTTGAGATGGATGTTCTGTAGAAGGACCTGGGATGTTGTCCACCAAGAGTCTCTCCCCTGCCTCGGTAATTTCGTTTGTTGTTGAATTGGGATTAGAAAACCGGCAATGATAGGTATAGAGGTCGTTAGTCTTATAACTGTCTTATGACTCGACGTCCGCTCTATTCCAACAAGGTAAAGTAAAGGCACTGAAGACAGTAAAGGAAATAAAGACGGCAAGTGAGGTGAAAATAGGAAAATAAAAGCTATGGTTGTACATGTTAATTTAATAAATAGAAGCTCATCTACAGCATTTCAATCAACACCCCCTGTATATTTTCTGTATATAGTGTGTCCATTTATAATTATACTATCTAGATATAATGTACATATATGGAGAAAATGGTATCTATACTGCAGCCCCAGCACATTAAACTATATTTTTAATCGACCCTATGATTTATAATTATAATTTTCAAATATATTTAAATTGAAAATTGTTTTCTTATTTTTTATGCTATGGTTACCGACTATAAACTTCACTTACATTTTTTTACCACTAAATGTGACCTAATGATACCATATAGTTATAAAACATTCAAAATTCATAAAATAGAGCTCGTTGGGTGACTAATCCAAGGATTTATAATGGTGTTTCCTACCTTTTCCAATAGGTAAAAGAAAATGATGAATTTGAGCGCGCTCTAGCGTCAGTTTGGAACAACGTAGAAATAAAGTTATTATACGTATATTGTAGGGAATTTAGTGTACTTTAATTTAGTAAATGCCAGTTATTGCAAAAAAATACTCCGTTTGTGAGTTATATGCAAAAAAGTAAAACAAAGTACAGTATTTTATTAGTTTTTTGCGATTTCTGAAGTTAGCTCACCTCTGGCGAGGTGGCAAAGTTTAAAATCGGGTTCAGCGTCAAAAAATACATAAGAAACTACTGAGAAAAAAACTTCGGGAATTTTTTCCTGAAAACGTCATCTTTTTTCCTCATATGCTTGGACTAAAAGGATATCACACAATATGGTGAAGTATCTCATACACACAGATACCCAGACAAGTCAACATTTCCTCTTGGGCAATCTCCATTGTCTTGGCATGCCCCGCCCTGTGACTGTAAAATGGATATCACATAATACAGGGTGATTCACCTAAAGTGTTACAATAGGTCATTTGTTAGGCATTTTTTTACAGAGAACTTTAAACAAACAATTTCCCTAATTTTTTTTTTTTTTTGTAAAATTTTACAACATGCTATTTTTTATTTAAAATTTTGTCGCCATTTTGCAAAATTCAAAAACAAAAAATTTTGTTCATTTTGCAAAATGGCGGACAACTTAATTTTTTTCAATTTCAACCCCCATTTTTATGATATTTTTGGATTCTACATAAAATCTTAAGACATTTTAACTCTTGTCAATTTTTTGATACTCCTGTTAACTGTTTTGGAGATACAGCCATAATAAACCACACAAAACCATGGAGATAAAAATGACAGCAATAATGATGATCTTCATTTACAAAACAAGAATCTATAATATTAAAACGTAACAGGGTTTTTTTATTTCACGATTCTGAATCAACCACTTGACGGATTTTCATGATTTTTGTGTTGAAAGAAAGATAATTTTGAGAACTAGGGAATGTTGAAGCCATAATTTTAGTTTAGGATTCCAGTTCTTTATAAATTAAGTTTTAAATTCTAAAAAGTGTAGCAGCTGACGCCAACATTCCAATCTAGCTTTTGGTATCATTTAATTTGCTTAACATAACAGCTGTAAACGTTTTTTGATGATGGCAAATGGCATCATCAAGGGAAATGGCCTATTCAACAGGATAGTAACCGGGGACGAGACTTGGGTGCACATTTGGACGCCCGAAAGCAAGCGGCAGAGCATGATGTGGAAGGGAAAGGACGAGCTTACTCCAAAAAAAGGCAAAAGTTGTCGAATCAGCTGGCAAGGTCATGGCAACGATCTTTTGGGACTCAAAGGGAGTATTGTTGATTGATTACCTGCCAAGGGGAGAAACAATTACAGCTGAACGTTATTGCGAAGTGCTACGTAAGCTGAGAAGGGCGATACAGAACAAAAGGAGGGGAAAGTAGACCAAAACAGTGCTTTTGTTTCACGACAATGCTCGCCCACACACCGCCCGTTAAACACAAGACCTTCTGGAATCCTTCCGATGGGATGTTTTCGGCCATCCACCTTACTCTCCTGACTTGGCGCCGAGTGATTTTCATCTCTTCCCGGAGTTGAAGTGGCATTTAGGCGGGAAGCGCTTCGAAAACGAAGACGAACTGAAACGGGAGGTGGAACAAAGGCTAACCAAAATGGCGGCAGAGTGGTATGATGCTGGACTAAAAAAACTGTTGCCACGTTATCAAAAATGCCTTGAAAAAGATGGCGACTATGTAGAAAAATAGTCTATGTATGTATCTTTTAAAATATACCCTTTTCTAATCAAATTTGGCTTTTCATTTATTTTGGAAATAGGTGTAACTTACTTTTGAGACGACCCTCGTATCAACTGGCTGGAAATCTTTTCTGTTGTGAGATAGTTGATGTAGTATTCATGCAGTAGTTGTTTAGTTATTGTTTACTAACCTGCCCATCAATTCAGGTTCTGCCCTGGTGATGAGGTCACTGATGTACTCTGTGTTGGTCTGCAGATGGATGTGTTTGTCTGGCAGACATCGTTTGATGCCAGCATACAGTGCCGGGACATAGCCCTTCTCCTGTACAGGCTCCGGTTCTTCAACCAACAAAGCATAAGCACGCAACACCTTGGTGCGACACTCGCCACAGAACCTGTCAACCAATTCTTTAGTAACAGCAATTTTCAAGTTGAATTTTTTTAACTTTCTAAAGCTAATAATCATCATAAATTTATACCAAAGTTGTAATCATAGTCAGAAGAATTTCTATTGTGATTTAATCACAAAAAGTTAATATTCATTTTAAGAGGAGAGCTTTTCATTAAAAAGGAAACAACAAAAAATGGGAGAGGATAAAGGTCAAAGATAATGTAAAAATGGTTTGCTTTAAAATTATTAAATCTTAAGTAAGAAAAAAAGGTTAATATACAGTAGGGGTGGGCGAGTACTTGACCTTTTCCAAATACTTGACCACGAGTCGAGTAGTGACTACTTTTTGAAAATTCAAGTCGTTTAGTTATAACAAAAAACACCTGACAACTGTGGACCACTTCGAAGGTACAGGGTGTTATAAAATTATATCAGTAAATTAAATACTACTGTTCCTTGGTGAACATTTAACGACACTAACATTTTTATCACAGACAATTGTAATACAAACATATATTTAGTAATCATCATAGAATTGAACCTTTAACTACTTATATAACACGGGGTCTACAAATTAACCTGTGGCTCTTGCCCTAATTTTATATTGGGCAAAGGGCAGAAGTTTTCACCAGCATTTCAAAGAACATCTCCCCAAAGAGCACCCAACCAGCTCATCAACCTATTCCGAACATTTAATTTCAGAAAACCATTCCTACGACTCAATAGATGCCAACCTAGAAATCTTACATAAAGCCCCAAAAAACAAAAAGTTATGAGTTTTTTTTTTTTAATCAACGTTGGCGGCAATATTGAAAAATGGCGGCTAAAATTATTATTTCAACTTTACCAAAATCGTTTTAATAAACAATCCAAGGAAGTTACAATTTAACATTTTTATATCTCTTATAACTTTTAACCCTTCAAGACGTTTTGACGTACGTGATTCGCTTTTACTTTACAGTACTTTTAAGCCCGCTGCAGCGTTTTGACGTATTGCGTACATTCTCAGACTTTCGTCCGATGCTGCTACCTATCGGGGAAATCCGCAAACATCTGGACACGATCGATATTGTAGTGCGTTGAGGGATAGATGGGCTACATGAAACTACAAAAATACCCGGTTTTAGAAACTTTTGGTTGCCTTTGGTGAAGGTGAATGAACTGTATGTTTATTTTGGCCTAGTGATGCTTATGGGTATTGACCAAAGGCCTAGTCTTAGAGCATACTATTCAAAAAATGGTTTGTTACGTACTGTGTATCCAAGTACAATGCCGTTGGAGCGGTTTCAGCTCATTTCCAAGTACTTGCATTTTTGCGATGAGACAAAACTCAGTGAGTACAATGGACAGAAAGGTTTGTTTAAATTTTTTTCTATCATTGATCATTTGAATAATAAGTTTCAGGCAGCATATAGCCTTTCCCAGAATATTTCAATTGATGAATCGTTAACTTTGTGGAAAGGTCACTTGGGGTTCAAACAGTATTAATTTGCCGCTGAAGGCAGCTTAGTTTGGTATTAAGTCTTTTGAGATTTGTGAGTCATCTTCGGGGTATACCTGGTCATTTCTTATATACAAAGGTAAAAGCATCGTTTTTGACAATCCTGTTGTCCCACCAAAGTCAAACAAATCCATTGCAATTGTTTTATCTCTAATGGCGCCTCTTCTCGATGAGGGTTTTACGCTCTGGATGGATAATTGGTACAACTCACGGAACTTTCAAAGTTATTGAAAGAAAGGAAAACTGACACTTGTGGCACCATGAAACTGACCAGGAAGTGTGTACCTGATAAAGTAAAAAGTCAAAAGTTGGATAAGGGTGAAATAGTTGTATTGCATAGCGAAGATGTCATAATCATGAAATGGTGCGATAAACGAGTTGTCTCTCTTATTTCAACCTTCCATTCCCATGAAATGGGAGTGAAAACTAGCAAGACTGGTAAGCAAGAAATTAAGCCAGTTTTGGTACTTGAATATAATAAACAAATGGGAGGGGTTGACTTGAGGGATCAAATGCTACACAGTTATCAGCTTGAAAGAAAGAGGGGGCAGAAATGGTATATAAAGATTTCCAAAAGGCTGCTAAATGTTACTGTTTTGAATTCCTATCTCATTTGGAAATGTACCAACCAAAAAAGTGAACATTTTGCCTTCAGATTAGAACTGGTAAAAATGTTATTTGAAACCTATGGATCCCAAGTGCAGAGAAATGTAAGTGGTAGACCATCGATCGAACCCAAACCAGCTCGGCTAACCGAAAGACATTTCCTTTACCTCATTCCACCTACTGCAAACAAAGTGAATGCTCAAAGAAGATGTCGTGTGTGTTCCAAGAGAGGAATTAGAAGGGACACTAGGTACTGGTGCCCAAAATGTGAAGCTGGAGGGAGAATGTTTGAATGTTTCGAAGATTACCACACAAAACTCATCTTTTAAGGCATGAAAAACTTGTATAACTGTCCTAGACTTTTAATGTAGGCCTATTATATATTTTTTTAAAGCCAGTAATTTGCTGTTTAATTTGGTGAAAGAATTGTTAAAATATAATTATAGTTGTATACGTTTATTGTAAAAATGTTCCGAGCCTGCTGGAAAGCCAAAAAAACCCACGCAGCAGGGTTGGTCTTTATTAAAAAAACTCGCGCGTTGAAGGGTTAAATAAAACAGATGGCAAACTTATATCAATCACCCTGTATATAACGCTACCAAAACCGACCCATCCCTCATACAAAATGACCAAAGAATCTTCGCCGCTAACATCAGGTTTGATTCATTAATTTAAATAAGAAATAAATAATACAATAAAATACTAGATGTACAATGCAGATGTTTGCTTGAAATATTGTGCGGAGCTAGCATATTAATCCAGTACTTTTCTAAAGTCAATGCTACATCTGTTCCTTATAAAAGAGATAAAATACTTGCAGTGTCCAATGTCAATGATATATTTGGTTCACGTAAATGAATTGTCTACTTGCAGCAGTGGCGTAACAGATTTTTACGGGCCCCCCTGCAAACTTACTTTTTGGGCCCTCCTCTCATGAGTTATTTTTAGACCACCAGATACAACATAATGAAAAGCCCTCCCCCCAGAGTTATTTTTGGACCACCGATACAATGATAAAACAGATTAATTATATATAGAGTGCTAAATAAATTACGGGTTATGTTACATAAAAGGTTTTGTTAAGTATTTCAGTCATGGTTTGATGAAAAAGTTACATCACTACATCATTATATCAAAATCAGTGTTTGTAAATAGTTTTGAAATAAAATAAAAATACCTTATTTTCCATCCTTATCAGAATGTTTATATCAAGGAGGTTTTACATTTATTTATCACACATGTTATCAATTTTTATTATCCTGATAATTAGACAAATTCGTTAATTACAAGGTAAAAATGTGGTTCGAATTCCCCTATAAACTGTAAGCCTCTTAGGCGCGATTACACCAAATTCTCGCTAGCGATGGTTTAGTTAAACTTCGGTTAAAACTAACCGATGATTTAAACCACAGTTAAGGAAATCTGGTTTCACCAACAAAAATGCGTCGAAACTAACGCTGGTTTTATAAACGAGAGTTTAGAGTAAAATCCAGTTGGGGGTGGCAGTTAACTGTCGTAATACCGGGCTGTTACGGGAGCAAGTAAACATAACCTAGAAAATAAATCAGTGTTTATGAGGTAGTGAAAACAAAACTGAAGACAGCAAACTTACAGGAATACAATAGATTCTGAGCAAAATAACAACAGAAAGCAAGAATAAATACCAAAACAATTAACATAAGTAAATAAAGGCAAAGCAATGCTGACCAAACATATTCGAGGAACAAATTGATTGAGTTTTGCAGTCGAGTCGAGTCAAGACTCAAAATCCAACTTTTTACAGGGATGTTCAATATTCTGTTTGTTCACTAACCAGTTTGGTACATTGTAAGTAGTGAAAAAAAAAAAAACTGGGGTCAAAAGAATTACAAGAATGAGACACAATATAGATAACGCCAAAATAATTATTTTCTATAAAATACTAGCTGAATAATGACAACTTAGGTTCAGATTTTGCTTTAATTACGTCTGACCGAACGCAAAACAATTGTTTGAACGTTGGGTTAAGGTTACCCAAAGCCGGGAGAAGGAAAAGGAAGCCTATTTTTTCGAACAGTGTTTAAAATAATAAATTTGATAATGTTGGTAGAAGAGCCGGGACACTATTTTTAGCCGGGATAAAAGAGTACGGCTCTTGGTCGCCAATCAGTTCAATGCGGTCGCTGATCACAGATATATGCCTTAACTAAAAACCTTGTGGGATAACCTAAAGCAATGCACTATGTGGGATAGTCTAAACACAGTAGTGGTTTGTATTCATTTCCTAAAGAAAAAGGCTAAACGTTTTTGATAGTTCATATCTAATTAGTTATGTGGGCCGGTTAAATACCCAGTGGGTAGGTAAATATAAATTGGGTATTTACCCCAGGCCCGGGTAAATACCCAAAAACTGGGTATTTATAATTTGTATTAAAGTTAGAGAAGATTGAGATTTTTTTCGCAATTATTACCCTGTCAGGATAGTAAAATGATTATAAAATGTGTTAAACAATAATTTCATATGGTCACTACTAGCATTTTACTTCTGGGTATAATAGCCATAAATACTAGGGTGGGCTGAAAAAAAAATTATTTTTTTTCCTTAATGCTATACCGAAAAAAACTTGTCTCTATGATGGGTTATCAAAATGCAACAAAGAAAAAAAATCTATACCTAACCTCCAGCTAGCGCGTTACACTTGAAATTTCAAAATTTCACTCAAATCATAGGATTTTTATAATTTTTTAAAAGTATCTAAACCTTTATATATTAGTTTGCTATAGTGAAAATAATTTATTTTAGAGTTACAAATAGTCAATAAACTATAGGAAGTTTTGTATTTTTTTAATTTGAGGTGGCACAAAGGCCTTCAATATAGTAAATTTGTGACGTTTTTAATGCTAACCAACTGCAGTGCAGTACATTCTCTAACTTTTTTATACCCACTACTAATGGGTTTTTAGATCTATAATGTTGGTACTTAAATTTAAAAAACCTCTTGGAAAATTAAATAAAGATATAAGCAATTTACATACATATATCAAAATGGATTTAATGAATACAAAATAGATTGTTAAATACAAATTTCAATTCCCAAGCTGCAAAATTGTATTTGACTCTCACAGAATAGTTATTTGCATATTTGGAACCTTGAAATCATGTTTGCTTGTAAAACTTGGCATTGAAGCTCGTGATAGCAGTGTTGTTCGGATGAAACCATCTCTGTTCTTGACGCCAACAACTTTTGAGGAGGCTTCAGTTATTTCACACAGCGCTCAACTGCTTGTGTGTGACACGGGAATTTATGAAAGTTCCATTCTTCTGCTGTGCTGGCAGTTGAAATCTTGGCCCACATTTCTTCTTCGGTTACTCTTCGTAACAGAGGTGGTGGATAAATAGCTGTAGCAGTCCAATCAATAATTTCTTAATATTCTTTTGCCTGGAAGTTGAGTTTTGGACATTTAAAAGTTCGGACTAGCTTTTTTTTGGAAGCCACAGCTCTTGATTTAATTACTCTTCTAAACCCCAACTCTCTGATATGAGCCCTTTCATCAACGGTCATACTCAGTAGCAAGTTTTCTGGATGTGCGAAAAAAGCATTTCTTTCGATCACAGGATCAACTTACCTTAAACAAGTTTTCTGGCAGGAATCTTGACGATGTTATTAAATCGAAAACATGTTTTGGTCTATCAGTAAGGTATTTACCGGTACTTTTTAGCGAATTTCCCATATTACCTATTACCGTAGTACTCATGGTAAGACCTGGACGCGGGACCGATTTTTTTTTCGTTTTGAGGTCCCTAGAGGCCAAAAACACCATCCGTTCAAATTCATATATATATATATATATATATATATATGTGTCCGTTAGCACGATAACTCGAGCAAAAATGATCCGATTTTGATGAAATTTGGTACAAACGTGTAAACCTACGTTTATTCGAACGAGTTCGCGATCCAGCATGATCGGACCATGGGAACGGGGGTTTACAAAAGGGGGGTACACCTGCGCATCGTTTTATAGGGTAAAAATAGGTTTTTCCCATTTTTTACCCAAAATATATACAATTTAGCAATTTCTTTCCAAACCATTTTGTAGAGCTTAAAAAAACAAATAATTTGGTATATTGAAGCGTTATTATGCGCCTAATGGTTACAGAGAAAATTTCAAAAATTTGTAAATTTAAAATTCCCATGTTATTTTTATGGAGAATAAGTAAACTGTTGTAGTTTGCTTGATTAAGAACATATTTTGATCAAATTTTGAAAATGTTTTTATTTCTTACTAACTATTAACATAAAAAAAAAACAGTTTTACCCTCCCTGATGCAGCTTGTTGAATAAGTACTAGTTAAACTAATTCTATTTAAATCGGGAATAAATGTTATATTTTTAATCTTCATGATGATGATCTTTGATCTTCATGATGGCTTTATATTTTTAAGTAGACATTTCAGTGTAAATCCAATCAGTCAAATGGAAATTCGCTTAGTCTGCAGGTTTGCTGCGGCGGGGGTATTTATTCTATCTTGGAGATTCGATCTGAATGATTGTTTTTCCCTTCTAACCTTGTTCTTATCTATTATGAGGGAATCGTCCTCTTTAGTTACAGGACCTAGGTCATGAAGTACACTAGAGGCAATAGCAGCTGTTGCTCTGTCCGAAACCCCAAATCGGTCACTTGCCAATACGGTATTTTTTAATTGTATACGCATTTGCCACTGCTGTTTAGTAGAACTCAGAATAGGAATGTAGTCGTCATCAGACTTTTCTTTTTCCATTAAGATTTTGTCTGGATCTATGTTTGACTCCGTCACATTCTTAGAGCATGAAGGCTGGGAATATGAAACTGGTGGAATGTTAGACGACACAACCCGATTTTTTATTTCCTTACGTTGCAGTCTTTTGATTATTTTTTTCGACTCCTTCTTGTCTACATTTCCAATTTTTCCTTGTCCAAGATAACTTTGGAAATACATAAACTTAAGTTCAAGCACGGGAATCTTTTTGTCTTTTTCACATTTACATGAAATTGACAAAGGGCACTCACAGATCTCAGGGACTTTTTTGCAGTTGCATGAGTATGTTATTTTACATTTACATACAGATACATCAAATAGTGATAAAGCCTTTTGCCTGAACTCTTCAACTTTTTGTTTGTACTTCTCTTTTTCCTTGTCACGCTTAAAGGACTTCATTAGATTACGGTAGCTATCATGGTATAAGTTTATTAACTGAACGATTCTGTAAGGCGTCACTGTTAATATTGATGCTTTGTCAAAGACTGCTTTTACTTTTGGAGCAACAATATTTGATATCTGAGAGAAACTAACAGACTTGTTACTTTCTAATGCTAGTACATACTGTTCATGGAAACAGCCCTAATAACATCCTGGTAATTTGGAAGCTTACTTACAGGCAATTTCCTTGGACAGCCAAACAATGGACAATCAAAGTCACTCCGAGTCACTTTCTTTGCAACGGCCATTACGCACAATAAACTTAACTCAAAAAATTATAAACATAATTTACAAGATCAACTTACAGCAGCTAAACGTCAATCCAGAATCGTACACAGATGTAAACTGCCGAGTGACAGGCCGTCTCAACGTCTCCCCGCGAAGTGCATTGTGGGTGTGTGGAGAGTATGGGTGGGGGAGCCCGGCAAGGCCGCCGGGTCATCGCCCGAACTCGCAGCTGTCATCCCGCACTTGACTCAAAAATGTGTCATTGTAATGACTATTGCGCTACCTCAGATTAATACAATTAAACTTCTGCAATTACTTATTGTATTTTCAAGGCTCTGTTCTAACGTAATATCACTATAGCAGTCCAATATGCAGGTATTTAGATGCTTTAATTACATTTACAAAAGCTTATAATTTGAGTGAAATTTCAAGTGTAATGCGCTAGCTAGAGGTTAGGTATAGATTTTTTTTCTTTGTTGCATTTTGATAACCCATCATAGAGACAAGTTTTTTTCGGTATAGCATTAAGAAAAAAAATAATTTTTTTTTTCAGCCCACCCTAATAAATACCCAGGCCTGAGCATAAAGCATAATCGGCATAAATGCCCTGGCCGCATGGTCTTACTGGTCCTGATAACTTATGATTTTTTAATTTCTATGATAGATATGATTGTGGATTGTGATTCTAGAAGTGATTGTGAACCTGGATTCCTTACTGTGAGACCAGGCCTCTCCTCTACTCTTCCCATACGTATAAGATTTCCTATTGATTGTCTCATCCTCCTGTTTTCAATATTCCTCCTTTAAACTCAAGAAATTGTCTGTTCTTCCAACAAAACTGATTGACTGTTTAGATTTGTCTATAACCTCCTAAATATTACAAACATCAATATTTACTCCCAAAAAGCTGGTGAGTTTCTTTTTATATACAGCTGTTTTTGTTTTAAAATTTGATTTTAATGTAATTCTTATGGGGGAAATGCGACCTTTGAGAGCGTCTCGTGCCCTTAAGGGTAACAGTTTCAAATTCTAAAACCTTTATGCAAAACTACGAATTGAGACGAATTATTTGACAACTCAAACGTTAAAATCGATCCAGAAATAACGGAGGAATTTTGTTCACAAAAAAACAGCCCTCACGTATTAATATAAGAGATCCTTATAGCACATGTCTCCAATTTTAGTATAACCAGCTGTTTCAAATATTTGTGTCCATTTCAAAGTATTCATCTGTTCAAAATGTAAACTAACATTTTCTCCCTAAGAATAACATGGGAACTTTAAAGGCCACTGGGAAAGAGCCCTGATGGAATTCCCAAGTGTTTTTGTTTGATGGCAAAACTACATGCTAAGACCTTTCTAACGACACCTTGTGCATGGTGATCAGTAGCACCACCGCTCTAAAACAATTATGACAAAAATATGCCTAGCGTATTAAATATATAGATATTGTCTTGAGTTTTGTCTGGAACTCTTTTCTTGGATAAGTTAGTTGTGTAGTTATATTTTCTTCCTTGTACTCTTAAGTGAAGTGCTATTTACTCTAAAAAGTACTTATGAATGTTATAACATGAGTATTTAAGTTAAACATTTTGAATATAATTTGACTTTTGGTCTCAGAGAATTCATGAATGAATAATTGTGTGACTAACCTGTGTTTACGCAGGTAATTCTCTAATGTAGCCATTAGAGTGGTTGCCTCGATGAGCACGACCTCATCTCGACACTGAGGTCGCATCACTGACCACACATCCCTCCAGGCAGTAGACAACACTCGTGTGCGCTGAGAGTCAAGCGAATGTAGCAAGCAGCGGCGAGACTTTTTGGAGCGCAGCTGGCTGTCTACCAGATCATTAAGATGAGAACTGCAAAGAATAATTCACCAGATAAAATATTTAAGCACAATGTTCATCTAATGTTTCCTATGTTAAGTTCATTAAAGTGAGTACAGTAGACCTCTTAACCGACCCTAATAGGACCCGCTCTAGGTTGGATAACTCAACAGGTCAGTTAAAAGCAGCAATCCCAAAAAACATAACATAATGAAGTGCTATTCATTGGGAATTGAATAATCATTATTTTGCATTGTTTATAAATGAACTACAATTAATTATCTCCTTTTTCGAAGTGAATTTTCCATATAGGGAATAAGCTATTACCGTAGGTCTCATGGTAAGACCTGGACCCGAGACCGATTTACTTTTTCGTTTTGAGGTCCCCAGAGGCCAAAAACACCATTAAGTTTAGATTAACCGTTAAAATATCTAAAAAATATATATTAAGGATTTATGTAGGCCTACTTCATATATATATATATATTTAAACATATATAAGTAGGTAATATCATGTTACTTCTAGGCCAAAAAAAGTACAAATTCAATAATTTAATGAAACTAGTGTCCCTGTTGCTCGAATTCGAACAATTGCTATGTATTACAGCAGTGTTTCCCAACCAGTGTGCCGTGGCACACTGGTGTGCCGGGAGGCCTCTGTAGGTGTGCCGCGAAATTTTAAGTAGTTAAACAATTTTTATCAAGAAAGAAACTTTTAATGAGCAAACGTCGAGCACAAATTTCCCACTAGAACTCAAACCAGGGTTTATTAAATTTTTCTCACTCATTATTGGTAAATTCATACAAAATTTCAATCAAGCTCAATGTTTTATTATTATTTAAAACTTTCCACTTAATAAACACTAAATAATGTACGCATGTTAGATAACGAATGTGAGTTTTATATTTTTTACCTTATATATATATATATTTATTAGTAAAAAATAGGTTTTACGGAGTAAGATTTAATTGAAAAAAAGAGTTTTTTATGCACTTACTAAACGTAATTTTAACCAACGATATTTTGTAGACAAGTGTGCCGTGACTACAAACTTGTTCTAGTTAGTGTGCCCTGAACGGAAAAAGGTTGGGAAACACTGTATTACAGGCATTATTTTAAAACAAATAACAGTCATAATTTTTAATAACTTTAAAAGATTTGACTCGAAGATTATGGAACACTCAAGATGTACATAACAGATCGAATAATCAAAATTTCTTGTAATCTTATCATTTTTCAAAAGCTGATCTTGTTTTTTAGTTGTTTTTAGCCTTACTCATAGCCGCACTAGGTTGTCTATTATAACGATTATATATAAAAAAAAAACACACATTATTTATATTCCTTCTCCTTGGTGGTGTTCGATGACTCCTATGTTTCCATAGTTTGCAAATCGGCTCTTTCAGTGGTTACTAAGAAATGCAGCACAGCGTTAATTCAGTTTTGTTTTTAGTATATCAATTTATCCAGGCTCTCTCGTTTTTTTCCATTTTAATATTTACGCCAACCCAAATTCAAACAGTAAATATTTTATTTCAACCAAGTAAGTAAATTCCTGTAGCAAACTAACTTTTAAATTAGCAAACTTATTGACTGTTTACTAATAACATATGTTCTTCTTCTCACTTTTAATTTCTGACAACAGCGAGTTTCATAACTATTTCTTTCCCATGTTAATCTTATGGAGAAATACGAAACTTTAAAGGGCCTCACCCTCTAATTACTTCCCTAAAAAGAAAGTTTTCTGCACAACTTCACGTTACGCTTTTTCCAATGACACCAAGAACATATCAATCGGCTCAGTAGTTTTGGAGGAGTATTTGTCACAAAAAAACTGCTTGCGTATTAAATAAGTATAGATTTGATGTTTTTCAATACTAATATGTTAAAATTTCGCCTCTTTTAGGCCATTTTCATATTTTTCAGGAAAAAGTATACAATTAAAGAACTATCTAATATATAAAATTCTCGTGTCACAGTGTTTGTCTGCAAACTCCTCCGGAACGACTTCACCGATTGTTATGAAATTTGGTGTGTAAATTCTGTAGGTATAAGAATCGGACGTAAACTATTTCCCGTTTCGAAATTCTTAAAAGGGCTCCGCCCCAGTGGCTCTGGAGTTTCCCATGTTAACCTTATGAGAAATGGAATTAATGAATCTTAACAGCTGTTTCAATTAAACAAGTTGGTTCTGTTCTATGATGTTCAATAGCATTAAAGTTACAAGGATTACCAACAGGGTGCAGCACTATTATTTCTTTTACATTTATGACAACAGCTAATTTGCAACCAAAAGGTGAGTGAGCGTAGCGAACGAACTTCAACCTGGAGGCGAGTTAGCGTAGCGAACAAGCTAACCTGAAGGCAAGTGAGCGCAGCGAACGAGCTCCAACCCAAAGGTGAGTGAGCGTAGCGAACGAACTTCAACCAGGACGTGATTGAGCGATGCGAACGAGATCATCTTGAAAATTAAACGTAACGGTACTTTCTTTCCATCGGTCTGTCTTAGGGGAAACCTATAACTTAGGCGATACGAAGTTCGCCGGGTCAGCTAGTCTATATATATAATACGCTAAGCCGATTTTTGTGAACAGAACTCCTCCCTCATTTTTGGACCGATTTTGATGATTAAAGTGTCAAACAAATCGCCCTGATCTGTAGTTTTGAAAAGTGTTTTTCGTTTTTTGATATCTTTGTTAGTTTAGGCAGGATCGTCCATCAAAGTTGGGTTTCCTCCCATAAGATTAACATGGGGAATTCTAAATATTTAATTGGAAACTTTGTCTCCACTAATTCGAGAGAACGGCTGGGCGTAGAAACTTGGTAGATGTGTCCAAGGAAAGGTCTTGGTCTGTAGATGAGTTATCAAAAGAAAAACTAAGTAAATTCGCTTAGGGCTCTGTCCCAGAAGCCTTTAAAGATCCCTCCACAGATTTGTTTACATTTTGGCCATGTGGATAATACTTTTTAATGAAACAGCTGTTAATTTTAAAATTGTATTTTAAACAACACACATTTTATTGGGAGTTACTGAATTGTCCAAAGTATTATTTTCTGTTTTTAAAATTGATTTTCCTCTGTATCATTTGTGTTGCAATATAAAGTTCCATTACGAAATCAGTGGAAAATCCTTTTATCACAATAACTCCTACAATTGTTTCTTATTGAACTATCTTATATCTATTTTACGTGTTGGTGTCTGCCTTTTTCATACCTTTTCCCTATATTTTATCATATTATTCTAGACAGATCATCATAGGTTCATGAGATTGTTGTCATGCATGCTTTCAATCATTGAAAAAATCTTCGATTGTGTAATACAATACAAAATAATACAAGTGCAGAAGGGCACCCATTTGAGCCGAGTCCATATTTTGTTAAACTAATAGTGTAGTTTACAGCAACTGGATAAGACATTTTACAATATTTATGTAGAAATATGTGCATGATTTAGAAAGTCATTAAGCTGGAAAACTGCAATATACTGCAGACTTTTCAGGGGGGTTACTTTGATGTATTCATTCAGCTTAAAAAACATAATATAGATATGTATGTATGTACAAATAAGAACTTGAATTCTTAGAGAGCCTTAGAATGTTATTAGACTAACGAAAAGGGTTGTACATGTTTACTAGCGCTACTCAGCAACAAAAACCTTTTAATTTATCTCTAAAATAAATATTCTTAAAGTGCACTGAGCAGCAGCAAACAAAATATATGTAACTTCCCAAAAAAGTTACAAACTGCTCAAACTCGCATTGTGACATTTATAATTCGGCTTATATTTCTCCAACAGATAATTCATCTGCAGAAGAATTTTATTGTGCTCTTACCGTGTCTGATAACATCTAAACACAGAAACCTTGCATAAAATGGTACCTATCTTGACAAATTATTTGCAGTGGCCTATCCTATTATTGTGACCATGGCCCACTGGATTGGTAACATTATTGAAAATAACACGACATTTTGGCTGTAAAAATGGCCCAATGAGTATTTAAGCAGTTACTGTCATGACAAAATGGTCTTATCCTTTTAAACTAGGTCTGATCTATGATATGAACTGACACGACGTGACGAAGGAAAAATCAAACTTAGACTGTAACGGATATATCTCTCTTTGAAGTTAGTACGTGTCTTCCCCAAACAGATTTTTTTTTCAAATAAAATCATAGATTAATCTGCATTACACTGATGAAATCACGGAAGTGTTTTTAACTACAAAAAATCCACCAATACGATTTTTATACTGTTTAAAGGTTTTTCCAAAGGAAGAGATACCAGATAGTATACTAACAACTCCAAAGACGTACATTATGGGATATATGTTATTCATTGAATGATCAACCATATTTGGTAACTAAAACAATTAATATCATTATTGTTTTTACACTTATTAATCTTTAAACAATGCTATATGCTCAAAATATGTATAATTTCACTAAATTTAGTGCAGTTAGATGAATTTCCGTGAGCCTTGAAAGTAACCGTCGATTTCGGCGGGTTTCACCTAGTTAAAGATATTAAAAAACTAATATTATTTTTAAATTCCTTGTTTAAAAACTAATGCAATTTCAGTCTATATTTCATTTTAAATAATTTTAAAACTTAAACATGAAATAAAAGAAATGTTATCAAAAATGATAATCTTAAGATAAAAAGATAACAATTGATTTAAATTGAAAATAAATATTACCAATGAAAAGCTTATTAAAAATTGATGCTATCTATCTATCTATCTATCTATCTATCTATCTATACTATTATAAAAAAGAGGTGGTTGCTGTATGTGTGTATGGGAAAAGTAAACTCGAAAAATACTGATCGGATTGGGCTGAAATTTGGCATGATGATAGCTCACATTCCCGATTAACACATAGGCATATTCTTATTTCAAAAATCCTTTCGGGCTCCGCCCCAGTGGCTCTGGAGTTTCCCATGTTAACCTTATGAGAAATGGAATTATTGAATCTTAACAGCTGTTTCAATTAAACAAGTTGGTTCTGTTCTATGATGTTCAATAGCATTAAAG